CTCTTCTCTAGCTCTCATTTCCTTATCTGTTCCCTCTGTGGCTTTATCGTTCTCCATCTGTCCTGCTCTCTCCTCCTTTTCCATTTCTTTCCATATACTCCTTCTTTACAGTCTACACAATTTTCTTGATGAATAAGATGGAAATGCCTCAAGTTTTGAAATTCCTTATATTTGGTTTGCACTGCAGGCCACATCAACTTCTCTGACCTACAAAAGTAAAGGTGTGAAAGGTTCTTATTTGTTACATTACTCTATAGGAGCATGTGGATAGTAAGTTGCAATGAAACTTTAAGATTTAACACGGAGTGATTTAAATGACTTAATCCCATCTTGGTCAGTGTATCCCCAGTGTGACAGCGAAGGAAGCAGCCTGTATTTTTTTGCTAATCAAACCAAGTCCTTAAACATTATGGATTCAAACACAAAGCAGTAGTGTTTGTTTAACTGTGGAACGGCGCACCACCAGTTGATCAGTAAAAGGCAAAATGCTCTTCCAAATCATGTCTGTGAAATGTGTTTAGTGAGGAACCTTTGGCTACACTGATAACAGACCATCATTGAATCAACTTTAGCATACATAACACTCATTACTAACTCTCTCTCAAATTAAATCGAAGGCAACTGGACTTGTATTTGTCTGTGGAAGACGTTTCGCCTCTTATCCAAGCGGCTTCATCAGTTCATCATGTATTGGTCTCTCTAGTCCGCACTAGTCTGACCAAGAAAATGGAGAAGGACCCAGGTATTTAACCTCTTGTGGGTGGGTCCACCAAAGTACCTGTGAAAGTACTGGTTTCACCTGACCATTGTTGTGGTCTCATGTGGACGACCGTCGTTAGGGGTCAGGTGACCCTGTTGTTGTCCCCTGTGAACGACAGTCGTTAGGGTCAGGTGAGCCCCTGGTGGATGACGATCGTTGAGAGTCGTCTGAGGTTATGTTGTTGACCCTCCTGGGTACCGATGAAAGGGCGACATTGTAGATGGGGGATAGATGGTGTCGCAGACCACCTCCCCTGTTTAGCGATGGCCTCTCCACTTTTACATAGATGGCTTCCTTGACTCCCCTTTCAAACCATCTGTCCTCCCTGTCCAAGATTTTGACATTGCTGTCTTCAAAGGAGTGTGCCTTTTCCTTTAGGTGGGAGTAGACAGCTGAGACAGGGCCTGAAGAGTTTGCCCTCCTGTGTTGGGCCATACGTTTGTTTAAAGGTTGTTTAGTTTCCCCAATATATAGGTCATTGCAATCCTCACTGCATTTGACCGCATATATCAGGTTGCTTTTCTGATTGTGTGGTGTTTTGTCTTTGGGGTGTACCAGATCTGTCGTTCACAGGGGACAACAACAGGGTCACCTGACCCCTAACGACGGTCGTCCACATGAGACCACAACAATGGTCAGGTGAAACCAGTACTTTCACAGGTACTTTGGTGGACCCACCCACAAGAGGTTAAATACCTGGGTCCTTCTCCATTTTCCTTGTCAGACTAGTGCGGACTAGAGAGACCAATACATGATGAACTGATGAAGCCGCTTGGATAAGAGGCGAAACGTCTTCCACAGACAAATACAAGTCCAGTTGCCTTCGATTTAATTTGAGAGAGAGATAGTCCAGATGACCTGGACGAATGAGAACATTCACAGACACTCATTACTAACTTAACTTTGTTTGAGTTAAATTGGCATGGTTGGTTAAAGCTCTGACTTCACCTGACTTCACTTGTTCCTCTCCTCAGTGCTATAGGGAGACTCAGTTAAGACTCAGACTCAAGTTAAATTAAGTCATTTGTAACTGCTGACTTTCTTTTTTTGTTTGCTTGTCATCTTTCTTTCAGTGATTTGACAGCTTAGTGTGACTCGTTTTACAATTACACTTTCAGGAACTGAAAAACCCTAGAAAAGAAAGCACCTAGCAATGGATCAAGCAACTGGATTTTAACACCAAAGACTTGGGACGTCACTTGGACTTGAACCTTTGTACTTGAAAATACTTGATACCGTCATTTAAAAAGTGTACCACAAATCAGTTCACTCATGAATAAACATCATCATCAACATTAACACTATTCATTCTTGGCAAGTCAGTACTTCATTACCCACATCCCCAGTTGCATCTACCACCAAACCCCATCCCCTAGTTTTTTTGTAGTACAGGCTCTGTCTTAGCCATTGTACAGCAATGATCTGTTTAAGCAGACGAGAGTGTTGCTTTGTCTTCTAAATAAGATGGCCATGTGATGCAATCTGCTAACATTACAGTACAGCAAAATAACATTAGTCCCTTCACTGAAAATGAACAGTTTCAGCCAGAAAAAAATACTCAATTACTCAAGTACTCAATGCAGAAAAATATCCTGAGAGCAAAATGGAGCACCCATGCAAGCAGAGGGATAATAAACAAACGCCACACAAAAAGGCCAGCTGTTCTCCTGTTTAATACAAAAAAAGGTGAAGTACTATGTTTGTTAGAGGATTATTCCTTGCCAGACAGCAAGCTTTTAGAACAGCAAATGTGAATGCTTTCATTAATTGAATAAACAGCATGTTGAGTTGCTGTTGTGTGTTGTGTTGCAACCGACAATGGCCTGTAGCATGTATGTATATATAAAAATGATGCAGTGTGAATTGTTACTGAAGTCGTAAATTCATTGCCAACTCTACAAAAATCCCTCCTTGAGGATGGAGCTATGTCAAGAGCTGTTCACCTCCTTTCATGGCTGTATTGTGCCTTGTTATAGATCTGCTCCACCCAGACGCTTTCCCACTTCAAGCTTAACACCCTACAATCACTATCTCTCTTTCTCTGCAACCATTTATTCCTCCTCCTCCTCCTCTTCTTCATCAGTCTGCATCCACCCACCAGCACTTCAGAGCTGCCAGCCTCTGCCTCGCTCCATGTCTTGTTTCTGTGATGTTTCTCAACACTGGTGCTGCAGGTATCTGATTAACCAGCTTTGCTCACACTCTGCTGCTGAAGGAACTGAGAAATTGAGGTCAGGAAGAAGTATTTTAAAATTTATAACATGTATCAGGACATGTTGAAATATCGTCAACTGTGTTTAGCTCACACTGATTGACTCCAAAGAACATCTGAATTGGGTTACTTGACATTTCAAATAACAGTTTCTGCTCTTTACTGGCTTAAATCCTGTGTTGTCCAATATAACTAAGAGTCAGAACTAGCCATGCTAACAGCTCTGTGAGGTTGTACTCTTCTGCATTTGAGCTAAATGCTAACATCATAGTGCTATCATGCTCACAATGCTAACACACAAATGTTGATAAGGTATCATTTTTACAATGTTCACTGTCTTAGTTTAGCATGTTAGCATGGTAAACATTCAAGTATAAATATTACAATTCATCCTGAGGATAAGATTAATTTGTGTACAAATGATAACTTTCATGGCACTCCATCCAACACTGAAGTTATTGGGATACTTCACTACAAACCAACAAATATCAACCTTATGAAGGCAAAGAACAAGTTAGGAGATGACCAAAATCTGCAAGATTAATTCTCTGGGAACTACAAATGTCTGTATAAAATTTCATTGCAATCCATTTTAGAGAGATCATGTGATCATGTGATCATTCATTTTAAATGATAGCCTTTTTCTTTTATATTTCATCCACAGCAGAAGAATTGGGGATAAAAAAATAAGACTCAATCAACAGGAAATTCAAATAAAATGCCCATGCTGGACACGCAAAATGGAGGCATAATTATAAACCATGGAAACACTTTTTAAGTTAACCAGGATATTTTTGTAGCGTACTTGTGTGTCTGTAAGTTGCACATTTACACCTACAACAGTCTTCAGCTTCTAGAGTTTGCAATCCAGTTTTTGTTTTCAGTTATAAAAATACATCCAAAGTTTTGTTTTTGCAGTACATATATGGTACACCCTTCTTTGTACATATAAATGGACTCTCATCCTGATCTTATATATGATTTTTTTTATGATAATCTTTTTTCACTGGTGATACGTCTCTACTTGACGGAAGCACACTGCATTCAGCAAAGAGTGGAGGAAATGTCTTATAATCAATAATAATTCAATAATTTTTCAAAAAAGGTCCCATAATAACATAAGCCATATGTTTTGACATTTTAAAGAGATCTCAGAATTACAAGAAAATGATTTTAACTTCTGTGATTTTTAAACTTGTTATTAAAGTAATCTTATATTGTAATTATGCCATTACATAATTAGTACGTAAATATTGCAATATTAATCCTATACCTATACCTATAACCTCCTTTTGAGGTTGCAGCAATCCCAATTGACACTGGTGTGCACCTGGACAGGACACTAGACTATCATACATATAAAACAGACAAACAAACAACCATTCACACTCACATTCACACCTGGATTGTGAGACTGCAGGAGGAAGCTGGAGTACCCAGAGGAAACCCATGCATGAAACCCATGCGCCCTAATAAGTAGTCCTGGATCATGTCATTAGGGGATATGGATCTCAGAATTCAAAACATATAATAATTGCTCAATTTTTACAAGATAAGGATTTTATAATAACAACTTGTAATTATGAAAATCTAATCTAATAATTATCCAATACCTTTTTTTTATTCTTAGAAGATCCTTATGTCACCTTAATTATGAGGTAACACAATACTATGTAATTACAGACATATTCATAATAGCATTACATCATTATTGTTCAGTTTATTTTTTCACAGGTAAATGCAATGCTCTTCTGTATGTTTACATATGGTACATATTTTTCATTCATTTCCTTTCTCCCAGGATGCTGCTGTAATGTCACACACCCAAACTGCTGTAGTAATGACTCTGTTTCCCTTCACGGATCAACAAAGTTTCACCTTGCCTTTTATGATCTAACAGGCACAGGTGTTGTTATCTGGCATGTTTTACATACTGTACATACAACCACTTGTTAAATGGGCTTTGATGTTGCTCGTTTGAACATGACAGAGTGACATCAAGTCATGTTTGTCTCTGGTCCCCTGCAGGTTCATGTGGGCACTACCCATCAGGAGCAAAGGGTTGTGGGATATCTCACGTGTACACACCTCCATGCCATAGAAGGTAAAGTAATATACTCTGCATTTGTCCAAACTCTCTCTGTCACTCTCTTTCTGTCTCTCAAACACCAATATACACACAGGTAAATGCACAAGCACCCATGAATGCATTCATTTGATTTCCATGACATTGCCTTTCACTTTTTAAGGCTATTTGTACGAAGAGTGGAGAACATCTTTGCTTTATGAGTGTGTGTGTGTGTCTTTGTGATTGTCTCTCACTAGAGCAGCCAGATAGCTACAACCATCTAACTACACACACATACACACACAGTGTATGTGTGTGTATGTCCATATAGCTAGATAAATGGATGCATCAAAACCCCTGCGTGCCTCCTCCTGCTGTTCCCATGGCGACTGGCTCAAGCTGTTTAAGGCGTCACAGCCCTATTTAAAGCCTCTGCTCGATGCCTCCCTCATTTTTTACAGAAGACACGTCTCCCCCTTCGCCTGCTATTCTGAGTTCCTCCTACGCTTTTCACAGGACTAAATATAGCAGAGTCAGAGCTGTTTCTAAAAATACATCACACATAAAACTTTTGGCGGGGAGGGGCTGGAATGTGGGCTAGTGCCTACATTTTAAAAAATACACAACCTATTTCAGATCAAAAAGTATCATAAAGTGCATTCAGAAAGTCTTCAGACCCCTTCTATTTTTTCACACTTTGTTATGTTACAGCAGTATGCAAAAAGAAAAATAATTTTTCCCTCATCGATACCCCATAATGACAAAGGGAAAACTGAATTTTAGAAAGTTCTCTAAATTTATTAAAAATTAAAAAGTGAAATATCAATTCTACACATTGACTGGAGTCTACCTGTGGTAAACTCAGCTGATTGGACATGATGTGAAAGACACACACCTGTCTATATCAGGTCTCACAGTTGACAATGCAGATCAGAGCAGAAACCATGAGGAGGAAGGAACTGCTGCAGAACTCAGAGACAGGATTGTGTCAAGGCTCAAAAACATTTCTGCTGCACTGAAGGTTCCTGAGAAGAACAGTGGTCTCCATCATTCTCACATGAAGAAGTCTGGAACAACCAGGACTCTTCTAGAGCTGGACCTGGACTAACTGAGACATCAGGGAGAAGCCCTAACCCTAACAGCCAAGGGGAAATATTGGCTCCCAAAGAGACTGCAATATCCCAGTTACTAGCACTGAGTGGGAGAATGGTGGCTTTATAACTGTGCTAACTGGTCTTTGAATTCAAAAAGACTGCCTTAATGCACCATTTAACAAGTTTTAAAATGCTTAGTGCAAAAGATGCACAAGTGCCATCCTTCAAAGTTGGACAAAAGAAGGCTGCATTCGCTATTAGAATAGGATTTTTGTTGAGTTACAAATATATAAATTGACATCATCATCCACACACAGAAAGCCAAGCTGAAACAAGCAAACATGCAGACACGAAGATGCACACAATATTCATGTATTCATAGGTAACTGTACAGCAAACACGCCCCCACAGCCTTTATCTCTAAGTGATTGAGTAACAAAAAAAACATTACATTTCCATGTACTTGAGCTCGGGCTGAGAGTAATCAAAGCCAAAGCCACCTACTCACCCACCAATATCTTGACACCTCTTTGTTTCTCACACTCTCCACTAGTCAGCTGTTATATCTCTCTCACACACTCTCACCCACCATCTCCCTCTAGTCACCTCTTCCCTTCTCTCTCTAACGCCAATATCTCTGATTTACTGGTAGGAGTGGACAGAGAAAAATGTTGCCAAAGCAAAATAGCACCAAAGGTGACTTTATATTATGTCACTAAAATTAGCAACATAATACATTCATGCAATAACTTAGTAAACAGATGTCATTAAGTATGGAAAGAAAACACAGTCAGTAAAATCAGGGACACTACTGTTTTTGCAGTATGTACTTCTGTCACATGGCAATACAGTAATTCTAAGTTTAATTAATGAATTATGAGTTGTATGCACATGCTGCAAAGTGCTTGACTGGAATTAATTGGTTGATTTTGCTGCTGTTCTCACCTGTGAGCTGCATATATGCATTGAAATACCAATGCATATACACCTACACATCTGCCTGGTAGCCTCAAGATGCTCTTCAATAATAATAGTTTTATCATATATTATTATTATCGCCATATAACATGTTTTACCCCTCCCCTTTTAAAAATGTAACACGTTTACTCAGACACATTTAACTGTTTTACTTACTTCTTTTATCTGAGAACATTTTTACACAGTAATTTTACTTCTACTGATGTCTTTTCAGTAAGTAAGTAGTAGTAAGTAGTTAGTGGCTGTTCACCTGCTGCAGTTAGTGTAGTATCTCGTCACCAATCAGTTTCTGTTACTGGTAGAGTTTATTGCTGCTTTGCCTGAAAACAGTTAATGTTCCTGTTTTCTTGAGTTTTCCCTTTTCTTTCACAGTGTCTAATTACCTGCCGTACATTTAAACTTACACTCGTTCTGCTCCAGCACCCAGAGCTCTCTGATCCTTTTCATGACTTTCACTAACTCAGCAGTTGTTTACATGCTGTTCCAATGTGCAAGTTACTTTAGCTTAGCAGTTAGCGCTGCCTTCTTTCTGTCTCCCTCTTGCATGGTGTGTCTTGGACAAACAAATGAAGTTATTCAGTGTAGAGGATTGTGATGTTTATTACATCTTCAGTGATGTCTGCTGTCTTACCTTCGTCACAGCTCTGCTCATTAACCGAAGCTGCTCCAGTCTGAGATTGTCTGTGTACACAGCAGCCTTCAGGGTTGATAGGCTATTACTCGTGACATGTAACCAATCAGATGGTGCTGTGGGCGTGACACTGCAACGCACGTTTGTTCATTTTACTGTCAGATCTGTCAGTGTAAGTCCTGTCACAAAAGTATGTTGTTACATGTCCTTGGGCATTTTTAAGTGGTTATATGGAAATTCTGGAGCGTTCTCAATGGGTATACAGCATATACCTGTGTATCACATAGACTACACCGCTGATAAGCATTCATTTGGAGTGTCTTGCTACCTGGTGAAAGTCCAATATACACTCTCCTACTTTTATCTCTGTTTATGGTTTAGCTTGTTTAGCTGCTAAATCCAACACAATGTTCACCAGCCCGTTGCTCACTCCGTCTGTCTACTGTTTGGTGCTGGGCAGGTTCATTGGGTTTATCATAGCTTTTTCATTAAAAATGCTATCTGCTGCTGATGGAAACAAGCTTGTTGAGAGTGGTGAGAGTGAACCACAAAAGTAAAGTTGCAGACCATAGAATCAAAAGAATGTACTGAAAGACAATTATTCACCCACAATGGCGATACTAAATTATGTTGTGAGGTCTTTGACTGGCCCTCTCTTACTCTCTCTCTTTGTAGATCAGTTCAGGTCAGTTTCATTCAGGCAAGCTCAGGTCACCTTATGGAAAGGACTTTGCATTCATTTGCTTCCTCTCTCTCTTTACTATACACACATGCACATGCACCCTCCACCAGGTGATGCTTCTGTACGATGTGAGCAGCTGGACCTGTTGCTCCGCTGGGGGGCTGAGTTTCGTCATTCCTCATCCCAACCACCTGAAGGAGAGAAGGTGCTTGAAGACCTGGTGGCCTTTGATGTCATCCTGGGAGACCTCAACTTTGACAACTGCTCTTCAGGTATGCAGTTGTCAGGGCTAAACCAATATATTCTAAACCAAACATGATTTTATGCCAGTCAGTTCACACACCAACCTGATGGAGGATTCATCTTTCCCAAGACGCAATGAATGTCTGTAATGTATAGTTAATGTAAGTATATGTAAAGCCTTCTATAAGTGTGCTAAAGGGTAGTTGCATGGTGCCAGGGTCTTGACAGTGGAAGCTAATAAAATAATATATAATATCTTTAGTTGAGGTGTAATATAGAAAGAAATGACTCATCAGTAACATTGCTTTTCCCTTATTAAGATGCAATTAATTTCTGTATCAGTATTAATACCACAGTTACTAAATAAGCTATTATCCTTCTTTCTACCTCATTGAAATATGATTGATGTTAATTTTTGAAAAAATATATGACTCACCTGTACCTTGATTATTCTTCATTATATGATTTTCTGGTCATTTACAGTTACTTATTACTGTGTGTTGCAAGAAAGTTATGTTTGATTTCATTTTAGTAAAAATTTGTCTTGCATCACAAGGCAGTGTTTCACGTACACAACAAAACAAATTTTATACTGTAAATTAGACATATTGAAGTATACAGTGAAAAGGTCATGTAACATCTTCAACAGAAATGTCAGTAATATGTTACACTTTTGTCATATTTAGACTAAAACTGTGACTGTGTAACCTAATATTGTTATTTTGTGTGTGTGCTCTTGTGTTTTTTCAGAGGACAAACTGGAGCAGCAGCATGCACTTTTTACTCAATACAAGGACCCATGTCGCCTTGGGCCAGGAGAGGACAAACCATGGGCTCTAGGTACGTACGCACACACACATACATACACACACACACACGTTCCTCTAGTGACACATCACATATACCATTACTTATGCACATAAAACATCTAACTCAAGCTTTCACAGATGAAAACTTTCAGAAACTGATCCTTAGAAAATTATGTTATACAGATATACAGATGTTGCTATACACACATAACCTCAGAGGCTCAGGAAATGTGGTGATCTATACAGTGCATGCAGAGCAGTGCAGACTATAATCTGGCTCTATCTGGCTAAATCAGGATGGATGGGTGCACTGTGTGAATTAGAATACACCCAGTATAGTGTGCTGATACATGGGCATTAGTGACGTAAAGACTGGAGGGTTTTGGTCTGGATATGAAGCGTTATTTAGGCCAGTGGTATTTTAGGGACAGTGTGGGCAGGACAGAGTGAAAGGGCTCGTTTAGAGAAGGGCTTATTTATTTGTACAGGGACATTTTGCACAGCCAGCCAGGGGAGCACATCCTGTTTGCTTGCTGTGGATACAAGGATGGGATTGGGGGGAAGAGTAAGAGTAGTATAAATGAGGGATGTTATTATTTACATGATATAATACAACATTAAATCAAAAGAAAGCCAAACAAAGCCACCCTGGGACTTTCACCCAGAGAATTATTATTTTTACCAGTACTAAAGAAGGCACTCCTTCGTTTTACAAAAGGAGCCAGAGACATGGTTCACGTTAGTTTGTTTGTTTTATTAAACATGTCAAAAATAGTAAAATTTGTTAAAAAAAAAAAAAAAGACATTCACACCAATACTTAATGGGAAGGAGGGGCTAGTCAGAGCTGAGGCCCACCGGTAGGTTGTATCCCAAACAAAGTCACTCCAGTCGCCCGTAACACCCACACACCCACTAGTGAAAATCAAGCCTGAGGTGCATGACACAGCACACAAGGAGATACCGCCATCGGAGACACCAATCCCACCACCTCTCAGCTTCTGAGAAGGACAGGAAAGAAAAATCAGTCAGTGGGGTTACAAAAACAAAATACCTAAACTTACAGAAAGCTGAATAAAGCAAATTTATCACTACAGGAAAATAAACAGAATAGGGGAAAAAAATCAAGTCGAACTAAACTTGAATCACAAAGTAATTACAAAATCACAATGATCTGCAATTTGCTCAAAAATAACCTCAATAAACTTAGTAAAATTAATAAACGAAACAAACAAAAACAACAAAATACTAATTGCAAGTTCCAGTTCAAATTTAGTTTTAACCAACAAAACAAGATAGGCAGCTAGGCAACAAATTAATGACATAATTGGGTCAGGTTACCCTTGTGGGGTGGTCAGACACAAAGAAAACAGAACGACGAGTGTAAATTACCCCCATCATCTTCACATCTACACGCTTTAGAATGGCTCAAGACAACGGAAAGCCACATCCATACACAGCCACACGACCAGAAGTCGAATGCTACAGCCAAGTAACACAAAGTAAGCAACACGAAGCAGAGCAGACCGTGAAGCAACTAGAGCATGTCAAGCTGGAGAAAAGCCCAAGGGAGGTAGGCAAGGCAGACCATCCGAGACAAGGCAGAAAATCCAAAGCAAAGCAGCAGCGTTTCTGAAGGTGGGTTAGCGTAGCCGCCACAGCTCCCCAATGAACCAGTTACCTGTATACCCTGTCATACGTAAAGGGAACTTAGTCTTAAGAATGGTGGCTAGAAAGAACAGAAACTGTCGCTATATGGCTCACATACCAATCAGACGGGGTCAGCCCTGTGTTCCCACAGCCCTATGTTCCCACATTTCTAAGAATGTTTTGAAAATTAGGCCCTGTTTTCCCACAGTCTTATATGTTCCCATAAGCCCATGTCCACACTAATCCGGGTAATATTTATCCGGTTAGCCCTTCCGTCCACATTAGAACGGTGAATTCCGAAACTGAAAACGATGCTTTACAAAAACGATCGCTGAGGTGGATAAATGTGAAGACGCCATGGAACGTGGATGCAAAGCGTTCTGAAAATGATTAGTGTGGATGGAGACTGTTTTCATTGTGAATGTGCATTTTTATATTTAGCCGGGTTAATGTGGACAAGGCCTAAGATTTTTCTCAAAAGGAAACCCTATGGTCCAATATTTCTTAACATAGGGCTGTGGGAACATAGGGCTGTGGGAACATAGACACACTCCCAATCAGACAGCAGCAGTTCACACACTCAGCAAGGGGGATGCATTTAATGCCATACCGCTACAATTATGCCCTGTAAACAAAAACAAAAGTGTTGGCCACACGTGCAGCATCGCAACTACTAGCAAGAGCAAGACCAGCTGACAACTACCTGGAGAGCCAAGTAGTTGAAAGCCACACAACATATCACATTGGTGTCAAACAGGGATGGAGCATTTCTCATACTGCTACATTGCTATGAGAAGAGGGGAAGAGGGAGGCAAAGAGAGAAGAATAGATCAATGAATCAATAAAAGAAAGGGGAAATTATCCCATTTCATAAAACTTAGTGCAGAGAGCCAGACTGCCAGCTATTCAGATGTACCAACAGTGTGTCGACAGATTTCCTGAAATGTGCTGAACTCTGAAAGCTCCAGGAATCTTCCACTGATACTGCCCTGCCAACCAAATGCAGTGACAACCTACAGAGCTTGTGTTGTATCTAAATCACAGGCAATTATGACAAGCCCATTTGATAGTTAAAAAGCAGTGACATGGAAGCAAAGTCACACAATTGAAGCTCTTAAAATTAAAGTACTCAGTAAAAACCTCATGCCATTGAGCATCTGTACTATTAATATGTCTCTTTTCATGTTATGTCTCTCAGTTCATGTGTGATGACAGATTAAACATGTCAACCACAAACCAAAACCCCAACAAGTATAGTAACTGTGACTTTCCATGTATTTTAGGAGTTGTGGTAAACATTGGTGTGAATGAACATTTTTTTTTCCCACACACACACTACAGCTTGTGGGTTACATCAGGACTTATGAGGACAGAGAAACTGGGGTCACAGTATATCTATACTCAAAGGAGCTGGAAGCAGCATAGCAGACAGGCAGCAGCTGAGTATGTTTTCTTAAACCTGCTTTTAAACTTGTGAAAAGTGCTGGCTGCACATCTGATGCCTACTAGGGCTCCCAACAAGAGTGAAATGACTGGAGTAACTTTAAAGTGTGCCTCTGTCCACATGCTGTATTTTAAACACTTTATGATTGGCCTCACATCCTCATTGTCAAAAGGGTCTGTGGGTGCTTGTCTCTCTGGCTGCCGATGATGATGTATATCAGTGGTTTTCTACAGTGGACTGTGGTCTGAGGACCATAAGGCAGAGATATATGTTCTCGGTATTAAATTCTGCTGACGCCTCCTTTGCTACGTCTAAAAAAACCAAGTTGTGCTTTAAGAGCAGCGATATGTTGTTCGAAGCATATACTAGATCAATGAGTAGGGTACAGAAAATAACTGTGGCCATATTTTCAGATATGTTATTGCGAATGAAAAACTTTCTCTCACCTGATCAGGTGCTGGCAACACAGACCCCCACCCACCACTTTCACAAGCACTTCTTTTTTGTTGCTCTTTCTGCATCCTGTAAATTTACACAACGGTGCAGCAAGATGATGTCATACTGTATATCCACATACATACTGTATGTCCTCTCACCAGTGCATCCCCTATTTTGACTCAAACATTTCAATCTTTTTCAAGTGATTTCACCTGAACATCTACAGAGTTCAACATGTTGACAGTATATTCAATCCTGCCTCCTAGAAATGACACTTGTATACAACTGAGCTGTAAACAGAAAGAGAAAACATAACTAAGACTGGATTAAGTTTTCTAATCAGGATATGTTGTTAATTTAGGTATTTGACAAGTCATAAATACACTGATGCTATAAATGTTCACAAACACACACAGTCATTGCTAGTGGATTTTGAACTGCGAGATCGGATGTTTTTGTATTAAACGTGAAGTGAACAGAACATGTTAATTTTAGAATGAGAGTTTACTCGTACTCGTACTCGTACTCGTCGTCTCCCACTCATCCAGATCCAGGTCGCGGGGGCAGCAGCCTCAGCAAAGAGGTCCAGACAGCCCTCTCCCGAGCCACTTCCACCAGCTCTTCCGGGAGAATCCCGAGGCGTTCCAAGGCCAGCCGAGAGATATAATCCCTCCAGCGTGTCCTTGGTCGGCCCCTAGGCCTCCTCCCAGTGGGACATGCCCGGAACACCTCCCCAGGGAGGCGTCCGGGAGGCATCCTCACCAGATGCCCGAACCACCTCAACTGGCCCCTCTCGACATGGAGTAGCAGCGGTTATACTCCGAGTCCCTCCCGGATGACCGAGCTCCTCACCCTATCTCTAAGGCTGAGCCACCCTGCGGAGGAAACTCATTTCGGCCGCTTGTATTCGCAACCTCGTTCTTTCGGTCATTACCCAAAGCTCTTGACCATAGGTGAGGGTTGGAACGTAGATCGACTGGAAAATTGAGAGCTTCGCCTTCCGGCTTAGCTCCCTCTTCCCCACAAAGGACCGATTCAGCGCCCGCATCACTGCTGACACCGCCCCAATCCGCCTGTCGATCTCCCGTTCCATCCTACCCTCACTCGTGAACAGGATCCCGAGATACTTAAACTCCTCCACCTGAGGCAGGACCTCCCCCCCGACCTGGAGCGGGCAATCCACCCGTTTCCGGCTGAGAACAATGGCTTCAGACTTGGAGGTGCTGATCTTCATCCCAGCCGCTCCACACTCGGCTGCGAACCGCCCCAGCAAGAGCTGAAGGTCGGTGCTCGATGAAGCTAAGAGGACCACATCATCTGCAAAAAGCAGAGACGAGATCCTCCCGCCACCGAACCCAAACCCCTCCACCACCCGGCTGCGCCTAGAAATTCTGTCCATAAAAGTTATGAACAGAACCGGTGACAAAGGGCAGCCCTGACGGAGTCCAACCCTCACCGGGAACAGGTCCGACTTACTGCTACGCGAACCAGAACCTTGGTACAGGGACTTGATGGCCAGGCCATCCACCCCATACTCCCAGAGCACCCCCCCACAGGGAGCCCCTGGGGACACGGTCGTAAGCTTTCTCCAAATCCACAAAACACATGTGGACTGGATTGGCAAACTCCCATGCCCCCTCCAGCACCCCTAGCGAGGGTAAAGAGCTGGTCCACAGTTCTACGTCCAGGACGAAAACCACATTGCTCCTCCTCGATCTGAGGTTCAACTACCGACCGGACCCTCTTTTCCAGTACCCTGGCATAGACCTTACTGGGGAGGCTGAGGAGTGTAATTCCCTGATAGTTGGAACACACCCTCTGGTCACCCTTCTTAAAGATGGGGACCACCACCCCGGTTTGCCACTCCAGAGGCACTGCCCCCGATGTCCACGCAATGTTGCAGAGGCGTGTCAACCAAGACAGTCCTACAACATCCAGAGCCTTGAGATACCCAGGGCGGATCTCATCAACCCCCGGGGCTCTGCCACCGCGCAGTTGTTTCACTACCTCGGCGACTTCTGCCCCGGAGATTAGATCATCCATCCCCAGGTCTCTTGACTCTGTTTCCTCCACGGAATACGTGTTGGTGGGATTGAGGAGCTCCTCAAAGTATTCCTTCCACCGCCCGACTATATCCTCAGTTGACGTCAGCAGCTCCCCGCCCCCACTGTAAACAGTGTGAGCGAGTTGCTGCCTTCCCCCCATGAGGCGCCGGACGGTTTGCCAGAACCTTTTTGGAGCCGATCGATAGTCTTCCTCCATAGTCTCACCAAACTCCTCCCATGCCCGAGTTTTTGCCTCAGCAACTGCCGCGGCTGCGCTCCGCTTGGCCCGCCAGTACCAGTCAGCTGATTCCGCAGACCCACAGGCCAACCACGCCCTGTAGGCCTCCTTCTTCAGCCTGACGACTTCCCCCACCCCTGGTGTCCACCAGCGGGTACGGGGGTTACCACCACGACTGGCCCCAGCTACCCTGCAGCCGCAGCTCGCAACAGCCGCCTCAACAACAGCAGAGCAGAACAAGACCCATTCGGGCTCAATGTCCCCCACCGCTCTCGGGACGCGATCGAAACTCTGCCAGAGGCGTGAGTTGAAAATCATCTTGACGGGTTCTTCCGCCAGGCTTTCCCAGCAGACCCTCACAACCCGTTTGGGCCTGCCAGGTCTGCACGGCGTCTTCCCCCGCCATCTGATCCAACTCACCACCAGGTGGTGGTCAGTTGACAACTCTTCTCCTCTCTTCACCCGAGTGTCCAAAACATAGGGCCGCAGGTCTGATGATACGACTACAAAGTCGATCATAGACTGGCGACCTAGGGTGTCCTGGTGCCATGTGCACCTGTGGACATCCTTATGTTTGAACATGGTGTTAGTTATGGCCAAACTGTGACTAGCACAGACGTCCAATAACTGAACACCACTCGGGTTCAGATCGGGCAGGCCGTTCCTCCCCACCACACCCCTCCAGGTCACGCTGTCATTGCCCACGTGAGCGTTGAAGTCTCCCAATAGGACAATGGAGTCCCCTTTCGGCTTTCCAGCACCCGTCCCAAGGACTCCAAAAAGGGCAGGTAGTCCGAACTGCTGTTCGGCGCATAAGCACCGACAACAGTCAGAACCCAATCCCCGACCCGGAGGCACAGGGATGCAACCCTTTCGTCCACCGGGGTGAGCCCCAACATACAGGCAGAGACCCTGGGGGCCACCAAAAAGCCTACCCCAGCCCTCCGCCTCTCCCCCGGAGCAACTCCAGCAAAGAGGAAAGACCAGCCCCTCTCAAGGACTTGGGTTCCGGAGCCGACGCTGTGTGTTGAGGTGAGGCCGACTATATCTAGCTGGTATCGTTTCACCTCTTCCACAAGCTTCCGCTCCTTCCCCGCCAGAGAGATGACGTTCCATGTTCCAAAAACCAGTTTCCGTAACCGAGGATCGGACCGCCAAGGCCCCAATCCACATTGCACCGGACCCCACTGACTCTTCCTGCAGGTGGCGGGCCCACTGGGAGACGAGCCCATTTAGCCGGTTCGGGCTGGGCCCAGCCGGGCCCCAACCCCAGGCCTGGCTCCAGGGCGGGGCTCCGGTATCCCTCCGGGCCGGGTACACAAGTTCTCGATCGTTTTACTCATTGGTATCTTCTGAACCATTCTTCATCTGGCCCTTCACCTAGAACCAATCTGCCATGGGAGACCCTACCAGGGGCAAAATGCCCCCGACAACATAGCTCCTAGGGTCATTAGGGCTCTCAAACTCCTCCACCACGGTAAGGTGACGGTTCAAGGAGGAGAATGAGAGTTTAAAAAATTTAAATTTAGTATAAATTAGTAGTACAAAGTATAGTTTGGAAACCAGCCCTCGTGTGGTCTCTAATATCAAGGATGAAGATGTTCACTGGGAAATGGTGTACCAAAGTTCCTGGCAGGTTGTATGCTGTGTACATAATAAATCATTGAACATCCTTTGTCATCACATCATCTGATAAGTCATGGATATCTTAAGTATTCCACTAAGAGAAAGAAAAGTGTGCCACCAGTCACATGGTTAAAGCTTTGCAATCTATCTAGATTTAGAGATTTTTTTTTTCAAACAGACTGGGTAAAATGGTTCAGGTCTTGTTACAGATAGTCCACTGAGCTGCTCTGGTTTCCCAGCTGCTCATGAACTGCAGGGAAGAGGAGGAGAGCTTCCAATACACTGAGCCTCATCTCCATTACAGTAAATAAACTACTTTCATTCCATGTATCATTATTACTAATGGAGGCAGAGGAATAACAAAACATAAGACACAGCGAGCAGAGAAAGCAGGAGAGAGGGAGGGAGAGAGAGAAGTCATCCGTAACAAGGTTTCGCTTTAATGACTATGACCAACTCTACATATCAAACAGAGGGAGTTCGACAAAAAGTCTGTTATGTTCTGGAGTTGAAGTAAATAAATACTAAATTATTGTTGATCCAGACGGAAGCTGTGGTCTGTGTGAGAGACTAAAAAGGAAAGACAGTCTTTTTCAGGCCCACTTGGTGGTTCACTTGGTGGAGTGCGTGTCATTTGGGCTTAGTCCTTAATGCGTCAGCCCGAGTTGCTGCTCTACTAAGTTTCTCTCTCAGTAAACATGTTACAGTAAATACAGCTGAAATCACAGCTGTCTTTGTCTTTCATTTATGTGTTTGGGGATTTTGTCAGACAACGTATGAGTTATAAAATCAGGATTTGACACAGGACAGATACTAGGTTTAGCCCTAGTCTTGTTTAAGACAGCACTTCATTTCTTTGTGGGATAGTCGAATATACTTCAGCCACAAGCTATTAGAAAAATGAAATAAAGTAGAAGAGTGAGTCTTGTCTTATGGGAGTTTTAAGGGAGACACTGAAATGATGAGTAGAGCAGATTTGTCAGTTGAAATGTGTATGACTGTGTGTAACTGTCTGCCCTGTGATTCAACAGGTACTCTTCTGGATCCCAGTGGCCTTTATGACGACGAGGTCAGCACACCTGAAAGTTTACAAAAGTGAGTTACACACACACACACACACACACACACACTCAATCAAACCCAAATCTTTACTACAACCAATAGAAGCTAAAAGCCAACCCATACCCTAACTAGCACTTACTCTGCACTTTCACTGCACTTCTTTACTTGAGCTCCTTGCACTTATATAGAGATAGGTCGCGTTTTGACCAAAAAGTACCTGGAACTTTAAGTTCTTTTTAAGTACTTTTCTTCTGGAACTAAAAGGTTCCTGTGGCCCACTGTTGTCTGCGTTTCCACCGCGGCCTTCCACCGGGAAAATTATTACTTGACATTACATTATTCACAGCTCTTTGAGGAAATAACATGACAAATTGCTTCCTATGTATATATATATATATATATACAAGACGCAGCATTTCATTTTCAAATACGGGACGATCCCGTATTATACCTGATGAGTGGCAAACCTTAGCCACTCTGGTTGTTGTGGTCCTTTATTTTCTGAAGTCCTGTTTCAGTTTTTTTTTTTTACCTTCTCCCGGACCTGTTTCGCAGTGTGGAAAATGTGTTTGCTCGCTCACTTGGTGCTCGCTCACTGCGGAACTTTAAACATCGTGGGTGAAATAAAATGCAGCGAGTACTCAGCCAGTCAGAAATGCTCAGCACTGCAGACCACAGACCCCAAAGTTCTTAACCTTTGGAAAGTACTACCCCCCGACCAGGTACCTTTTTGGGGGTCGATCAATCACCCCGGAACTAAATTTAGACCCTGGTTCCTGCGGTGGAAACACATAGTTCCTCAAAAGGTTCCTGGTTCCTGGGGAAAGTTCCTGTGGTGGAAACACGGCTATAGATTTAGTACTTAGTACTCACACCAAGGTCTCCTACTGCACTGAAGCTTTAGTGATGTCCCTCACTTGTAAGTCATTTTGGATAAAAGCATCTGCTGAATGACAAAATGTAATGTATTGTAACTAAAAGTCTTATTCCTAAAATGAAAAGGTTTACCTTAGGGCAAAAATAATGTTAAGCCCCCATAATGTAACTCTTTGATTAAATATAAATAAACATTTGTCCTGCCATACTTGTGAGGACTGGCTCATTAAACATGCCCTACCCTAATTGCTGGTGTACCCAGCATTAACCCAGACCACACCTTGACCTAAACCTCACTCTGCAGAAATGTCTTCATTCAATGTCTAAAACTTGTCTAAGACTCGTTTTTTTTATCTTATTTTTCTTTGTTCAATCTTTTTATTATTTTATTGTAATATCTCTAACTTTATTATCTTAATTAGGTTCATCATTAACTTTTTATATTACCTTTATATCTGACTTCAGTCAGTCAGTCAGAAGGTGCTTGTTCGCTTCAACTGCAGGTTTGTCGAACTGTTTATGACACAGGCATTACAGTAGTAACTGAATGTGTATGTCGGATCATGTTAAATCACTACCTGCCAATAGTTTGTAAGAAATGATGGTGGAAGCCACAAGAATGTAACGGTGTAACGGTGCACAGTCAGTTTAGATGTAATAGGTAACGCCGCCATGAAAAGCTTATAACTCTATTGACCTTTGACCTGAGCACTGCACTCCATGATTTGTGATTCTGTGCTCTCACTCTTATGATTTTGCTTGTTGCTGTTGTTTGTCTTGTTACTACCTTACTTTTCCTGTGTTTGGACTGTGAACATTCAGGGCTACATCCTCTGTCCTTCTATGTATTTGTCTGTCAGTCCAAACTTCAGTCTACTGATTCTCTCCCTACACTGTGTGTCTGTCAGAGTGATGGAAAATGAGGAGGGGAGGAAGGAGTACCTGGTGTTTCCTCCCAGTAAGAGCCAGTGTCCTGCCAGCAGTCAGAAGGGGAGGAAGATCCCGCTGAAGGGCAATGGACGCCGCATTGACTACCTCCTCTACAGCGACGAGGGCCTGCAGCATGACTGGAAACTGGTATGGTTTAGTAGAGGATAAGAAGGAAAATCTGTCAGTATTCAGTTATTTTCTTATTGTCAGCAGAACCTATAAAAAGACAAACACCAACAATGAATTGACACAATCTGTGTATCCAAAGCCAGATAAATGTTATTCCCCTGTGCCATAGTGCTCCGTTATTATTCAGAAACTATTAGCTGTCACCGAGCCACACTGCTGCACTGGGTGACATGTTCTTCTCCTACAATGAACAGAGGTACTGTAACAACAACAATACAGATATACCAAGTTAAAACCAAAATTGTTTATCTGTACAATTTCCACCATGTTAAAGGTTTTTTTGTAAAGCAGATATGAAAGATGGGATAGTTATGTAACATCATTTAAATTTGGTGATATCAGGTGAAAAGTTAAATAAAAACATAAAATATTTGAAGGTGGGTTAGGGTTAGGGAAGTCAAAGTCAAATCATTCAGTCCACCACATTAAAAAAGATTTAAGATAAGGTAATTTTTTTTTCCCTGCTTTCTTTTCTTGTAAATCATCTCACTATCACTTATGGGGGTCTCAACCCCCAGATTGGAAACCACTGTTCCAAACCAATGACAAATCTACAATTTCACTGACAATGAATAACAGATGTTCCAGCGGGCCTACTTCAACCAGTAAGTCAGAATCTTCCAGTCCATGCAGTATGTGGACACACAGAGACATGTAGACATGTGAATTCTACTCTACTGCAAGAATTCTGATAAACTGTGTGCTATTGTCTTGCCTGTTGTGATCTGCTTTATTCTGCCATGAATAGTTTCCTAGCTACAAGTCACTTGTCAACACTTGTTTTCCTGAGCCATGTGAAACATAACTTGAAGCCACAGGAAAATGTTTGACTTGTGAAAAAGATTTAAAAAAAGAAAAGAAAAAAAGAAATCTGAAGACATAAAAGCTGGAGAGGGGAAAAATGATACACAGCAACACAAACTGGGAAGGAAAGGAATGAGGGCAGTGCTGTGATGGCTGCCTGTCTGTGTGAGGGATTTACATAGAACATCTTTCTCTCTCCCTCCTTGTCTGTCTGGCTCGCTGTGTCTCTCACACCACAGTCACTGTATGCCACCTTGTGGCAGAATGTAGTAACTGTCAAATGAAACTGATCACATAGATTGTTGTTTTGCTTTCTCACAAACAAACCTCAAACCTCCTTTAATAGTTTTCACATTTCTTCACACGTTATGTCATCATGTTGTTTCTGTTTATTCAGTTGCTGTATTCTATACTTATTATATATCTTACAAAATATCAAAAATTAATTATAATAAATACATCAATACATCTCTGAATATAGTAACTGATAACAATGATAGATTTCCTTTTTCTTTTTGTAACTGTAGTGCCAACACTAGAAATAAGTTGTAGTAATAGCAGTATTTTTCGAAATAATAATAGCAGCAGTTGTAGTAATATAAAAATAAGTAGTAGTACTGTTTATCATGGTCTGGATAAGTCCCCTCAGTTCCAGTGAAGGGGAATGTTAACACTACAGCACACAGTGACACTTGTGTTCTTGTTTGGGGAAGTCTGGTTTCAACATGACAACATCCTGAGCACAAAGTCAGTCCCATTAGAAACAGTTTCCCAGTTTGGTGTGGGAGAACCTGACACACTGAAGTAGTAGCTGCTGTAAAACATGGAGGGTAACACTGTAACACCAAGTGGCTCACAGCTTTAAAGTTCTTCAGAATAAAAGCTGAGATTGTTGAAGTTATGATGATTCGATGACAATGGTTCTCATCTATTCCCCCCTGCAGGAAATTGAGGAGTTCAGCTTCGTCACCCAGTTGGCTGGCCTCACTGACCACCTCTCTGTGGCCATGCGACTGGCTGTGTCCACCGGGGAAGAGGAGCCTTAGGTAGATCGACCACTTGAAGCTTTTTAAAAATACTGCCATGGAGGAACGACAGACAACCAGGAAGAGGAGAAGAGGTTAAGAGTTTACAGATATGGAGCTGCGTCTGAGACACACAAAGCAGGGGTGGGAGAGGATTAAATGGACAGAGAAATGGACGCATGAATTAATGGAGGAGCACTCAGTGGATGAATGGATATAGTGCAGGTAGATAGAGCGATAGCAGGAGCAGAGGTGTGACATGAAAGACAAAGGAGGGGAGAGATAAGCAGGAAAATTCAGTGTAGAAATCCAGAGAGATATTAATTTTCCTGGGTAAACCACACACACACACACACACACACACAAACACACACTAAATATGTTACCAAACACACAAACACAAGTGATCAACATTGTGACTGTTGAACGTCACCTGGCCTCTCCGCTCCTGTCCTCAAACACTCCCTGAACCAAATTTGGAGATTTTTATTTACAGTAAATTGTTTCATGTAGTCAGTTTCCACACATTCCTTGTATTGGATCTATTTTAGCTTTAGTGTAAGTCAGATTTTTTTCATGATTCTACCTTCAGGGACAGCTGGATCCTCATCCTTTAGTGACTGTGTCCAAAAGTGATGAGAGTGAAATGTACAGCTGCTGACTGGCCTTTACACTGACCATTTGTGTCCTTGTGTTGTGCACCTTTCTGAAAGGCTATTGGTCAGTTCTGCTGTCAGTCATTCACCTTACTACTCCCACATCAGTCCCAGGAACCTGAACAAGTGTCTTTTTTTTCTAAAAAAAAAAAAATGAAAGAAAGAAAGAAAGAGAAGAAAATTCACATTAGTCTTTCTAAAAGGTGAAAAATAATATGATACAATTTCTATTGTCGCCACATTACTTTTTATAGGAAGTTTAATGCCTGTTTAATACTATATTGTGTGTTTCTAAAAAGAGGGAGGCTATTGTATAAAGGGATGAAACTGAAGAAAAAAGTTGTTTGATCCAGTGAAATGCATATAGCATGTTTTTCATGATTGATGACAATTCTATGACTAACGGACATTTTAGTGGGAACCAAGGCTTTGATGCATGATGGAAATGGTATCAGTTTACAACTTTAATATAGCCACTCGATAAACTTGCTTGCTTGAATCTGGATGCCTGATGAGTCTGAAACACACACCAATTGTAGGCCAGTGTGGCATGTGTGCATGTGAGACTCCACCCTGTTGATGAAACCTAACACATACAAAGGTGTGCACAGAAAAACATACTCAGTATTTACTTAAAGTAGAAACAGATTTCATGTACAGAGCTGCCAGGTGATGTAACATTCCCTCTGCTCTTGAAATGACACCTCAGCCGTCTCCAGGAGAGAAGCTATTATCAGCTTGTTAGTTAACAGACCACTGTACCTATCTGGTTGGTGAGCCATTACTGTGTTGTTTTTGGTGTGAGCACAGCCAGTTGTCCAATGGATCACAATTGATGGCAACTGCAAAACCTCATAATACAGACTATGAAGACCTACAAGCTGCACACACCTGGACAACAAGTTTATCTAAACACATTTTATCAAGTTCCCAAACTGACAGCCCACCCGCAAATATACAGAATTCATGCAGCGAAAGGCTAATAAATAAACACACAAACACACAAAGCAGTGTAATAACAATGCAACACAAAAAGTGTATTCAGACTGAAAGCAAGAAAAACTTTACAGACAATGCAATTGGATATCAATAACTTTCGAAGATGTGGGTGAATGAGACAAGATGCATCTGACCAAGTTATCAATTTTTCAACTTAAGAGAAAGGTTTGCATTTATACCAAAACTTCATGAACAAACAGGAAGACAAGGAGAACAGACACAGCTGGGGTTGAAGTTTTGAGAAAAGTTGTATGTATGTTGCTAGTGTACACACAAACCATAGAGGAGAAGTTTTACGTGACATTCAGTCTAAACACACCTTTAGTATTTTGCCCCTCTCACCTGTCTGTAATAATGCTATTAGCATAGCATTCACATGAGCATTCAACTCCGGATCTTTAACAGAGACACACAGACCATGGTGTCAAACAGGAGCTGGATCTTTGTAAAGAGCAGTGTTCAGTCAGTGTCATTGTTAAGAGACATGATGACAGTAAAACCTTCTTTGTGTCCCCTATAGACCTGTTGGCTAAGAGTGTGGAAGCAGGCATGACGCTACATTATTAGTAAAATCTGAAGTGAGATGCAGCCAGATCTAAGAGTTCTGTTTGAAAAGAAGTTTACAAAGTCATCAGACTCACTCAGTAAATTAGCCGCCATAATGTACTGGTCATACCAGACCAATTAAGGTTGTTGCAGCAAAACCTCTGAAACAACTAAGTGTATGTTTTATTACTTTACTGAATTCAGCTTTAAGTTTGTAAGAGGAAGGTTAAGTTATTTTTTATTGAGTATGTATTGGTTTCAGTAATGGTAGCCTCCCTGTCATTTAAACACTATGTGTGCTCACGTGTCAGGGGGAAACTCCGGATCACTGATCGACCATACAGGGAACACATGGATCACGTCTGTGTCGATGTTGTCATCAGTCAACATGAGACATCTACCAAAATCATGCTGTATATTTCTTTTAAAGATGAGTGTAAAAAATAAGTAGAAGGCTTTCTTAATAAAACATGCATTACAGTAACAGTTTTCAGTAACAGGGTTTCAGATACAGTTTGAGCTCCATGGTCTACATGGTGAACAAAGTTTACAACAGTTTTTGACCTGTCTGTTTGCACAAGAGAGGAGCTTTATATGTGTTTGTATGATTTGGGCGGCTCATCGTGTTATCTTTTTCAATACAAATGTGCAGTGTGTTCTCTGAACACACTGTGCTGAAATGAAACAAAATATAGGCAGTAGAGTATGCATCATACAGGAGTATACAGTATCTCATACTCTTGCAAGTCAGTGTATATGTATGGTTTGTGAAAGTGAATGCAGGAAACATACTGGTAGTTTTGTTATGTATGTGAGTCCACAGATCACCTGGCTGCCCTGACACCCCTTCTGTCTCTTTATGACTCACTTTATTGTGATTATTATGACTATGACTAAAATATTCTTCTTATTACTATGTTTTGTTTCTGTTCTTTTTATCAACGCAAGCTTCGCTATGTTTTTTTTCCACTTGAATCAGTGTCAGACTTTTGCAAGTCACCACTTTTCAGATCAGGGTGAAATTCAATGAGATCAAATCCTAGAATATGTTGTTTACTTGGTAAATAGTAATGTAAATACACTAGAGGTCAACAGTGAGTTACAGAAAGAATTGCCACAGTTTATCTCAGGATGTTTTCGTAGCTTAAATAAGTAAAAGGTTTGATGAAAGTGTAAAAGTTTATTTAATAACATTTTCGCCTGTCCTGTTCTGTTACATGGCACCTGAATACTGCTGAACATTTCATTAATAAGTATGGAGAGACTTGCTTGGAGAGCAAACAGTAGGAGTTGTGTAGTCCTACATTTTCATGATGAAAATACACTTTTGTGTTATTTTTAAATGTTGAAATGTTGAAGTAATTACTTCAACATTTCAACTTTTAAAAATTTAAGAATTTGAAGTGTTTTTTGTTTTGCTAAATTCTGTGGGTTTTTTCCTATTTTTAAAAACAAAAAGACTGAAGAAAGTGATGGCAGAGAAACTGATTGGTTGATTTAAAGGTCAGAGGTGATGGTGTAAAGGCAAAGTTCTGGTTCGTGTTGTTGGAAAGCCATAGAAGGAAGTCTATGTGGTAAATCAGTCAGTGAGGCATATTCATTACTAGAGGAAACCAGAACTCACCAGATAGCGGGCAATCTCAGCGCTTTCTTGGGTGGTAAACAAACAACTCAACAATTCAAAACAATTCAATGAAGAGGAACTACAGTGTCAAATCATTCAGCTTTAAAGTCAAAGACTGCACAGGCTCTCTCACTGACTGCAGTGCAGTTGGAGGCTCCTCACCTTAGCAGCTGCTGTGTAGACTGTTTACCCCCATAACAAATTTTATGTATCCCAGAGTAACTGAAATGTGCGGGCTCTATCATGGAGCCATTAAGATCCATGGTACATCGGTAGACCAAGTATCTGCAGAGAAGGATTGTGTTTTATGGCAAACAAGAACATCACAGTGTTCACACAACTCACAAAATCTCATCTGCCTCATCACACTGTTGCTAATGACAATCAAGCAACTAGAATTAAGCATTCATAGCCTTTCTGAGCCATCACAGCAACAAGTCTTCAAACTTAAATGACCATATGATGCGACCCATAGGACTGCCTCCTGAAATAGTGCCTCTAGGGCAGCAGGCGTGACAGACTTTCATCATTATGGTTTCAATAATAAACACATAATTAAACTTATGGAACAGACACCATTTGTCAGATTTTGGATCAAAAACTACATGGTCAGGTTTAGCAAAAGGTCAGAGTTTGGGTTAAAATATGTACTTAAGGTTAGAGGACTGTCATCATCATGGGTACAATAAAAAACATCATGGTTGAAAGAAACAATGGTGATTATTGGTTCACACAGGAAACAAACACCAGACTCCTGTCATTTGTTTTGTGGACCTCCCCCATCTTTATAGTACGTCACCTGACTTCCTCCTTGGCTCTCGTAATAATGACCTCAGCTGTAGAGGTCACCTGACAATAAAACAAAACTGGGTTGTAATCAGTTACTTGCACAGACGACCTTTGGGGTAATTTTTTTACAGACTCTGTGAAGCTACACACCCACCACACTGACCCTCTGTAAACAAACACACAGTGTGAGCTGAGTCAAGCAGGAGTAAACACCACACCCCACAGAGGGCTCCTTTTCTAACTTGAGCTTTTCTTCAAATCTCGTAAAATAGAATGCACACATGAATGACATTTTCCTGATGGTCATCTGATTTGTTATTATGTGATGAGAACATAGACACCAATATAATCTATGTATCCCCAATGCTGAAAGCAAACCAGCCAGGAAATAATATATTGATTGATAATCAGGATTGAAGATTATAGATACTGTATATCAAACGAGCACTATATTTCAGCTCATAATCAGAGAGAACTCATGAATTATTTTGGTGTCTAAATTCTTAGGTAAGCTAACAAATGGGACCTTTTGCTGACAAACTGCTGTATCTTCTGAAACATTTGTAGTATTTGTAATGTTTCTGTTCAACAAACAGCATCAGGTTCAGGACAGAGTTATTTCACAGCAGGTCCCAGTTGAGCTTGAAGCTTTATAGCTGCATTTACTGTAATAATGCTTAATGCTTGTAGTCTGAGTAGAAGTGATGCCTCACTTTGCTATCCTTTTCTGTTCTGATTTTCTATAATTTGTCTCTGTTCACGTTTCTTTAGTTGATTTTTGTCTTTGGATGGGGGGTGTGTCTCGATGGGCTCGTCTAGCTTGGTCTCAGTAACATAGCAAGGGGATCAATAGCTTTTCTCTTTCTAAGCTTATTCAACAAACTGCTTATTTTCTTCTGCTTTTATAAAAAACAAAGGATTTTCCCTCAATCGGTGTCTGTGTGGTTATTTGAGCTCTGGACTGCTGTCAAAGCCTGTGGAAATAATCAGAGGGGAACCCTCTGGGCCTTCTAGGAACAAACATATCGACATTTAAATGTTGCATTTAATCTCGTTTATTTTATAATCATCCTCTTCTTATTCAAATGTTAGCCTCATTTTTAATGAAGTCTGCTTCAGAAATGAAAAGTTACTGTCATGAAACCATGAAAACAGAGT